TTTAATTTCTTGTGTTCTTGATAATTGCCATTCTGACAGGAGTGAGATGACATCTTAGAGTAGTTTTGATTTTCATATCTCTAATTACTAGAGCAGTTGAGCAGTTTTTTTCATATATTTGTTGATCGATTGCATATCTTCTGAGAAGTGTCTGTTAGTTCCTTAGCCCTTGAGTCTTGTTTTTTTCCCAGGGGCACCAGTGCAGAGATGGAGAGCCTGGATCCAACCATCACAGCTTGGAGTACAGAAGCCACACCAACCAATGGAAGTTACCAGCACCTTCCTCCAACTTGTGACAGGAATAACCTTCTTCCAAAAGTGCTGGCCCTCCTCATTGCCCTGGTTGGACTGACAGGAAACGCATCTGTGATCTGGCTCCTAGGCTTCCGCATGCGCAGAAATGCCTTCTCAGTCTATATCCTAAACCTGGCTGCCTCTGACTTCTTCTTTCTCTGTTTCCATATCACTGCTTTCCTGATGGACATCGTCAAAATGTTCTTTCACTTCTCTGTCCCTACATATGACATCGTGCGAACTGGGGGAATCATTTCCTACATGGCAGGCCTGAGCATCCTTAGTGCTATTAGCACCGAGCGCTGCCTGTCGGCCCTGTGGCCCATCTGGTATCGCTGTCGCCGCCCTAGACACATGTCAGCTGTCATGTGTGCCCTGCTCTGGGCCCTGTCCATGTTTTGGGGCGTCCTGGACATGGTCTATTGTTCTACCTTGATTATCAATAGTGGAGTTCGTTGGTGTATAAAAGTTGATTTAATCATAACGGCATGGCTGATTGTTTTATTTGTGACTTTCTCAGGGTCCAGCCTGGCCCTGCTGTGGAGAATCCTTTGTGGTTCTAGGCATAAGACACTGACCAAGCTGTATGTGACCATCCTGCTCACATTGCTGGCCTTTATCCTCTGTGAACTGCCCTTTGGCATCTATTTATTTCTGTCAGACTGGATTTCAGTCGATTTTGATGCATACACTTGTCTTTATCTGGTTTCAAATGTCTTTTCTTGTGTTAACAGCTGCACCAACCCCATCATTTATTTCTTTGTTGGCTCCTTTAGGCAGCGGCTGCAGCATCAGAACCTCAAGCTGGTGCTTGAGCGGGCTCTGCAGGACACTCCTGAGGAGGAGGAATGTGGAGACAGCCTTCCTCAGGGATCCCTGGAGATGTCAGGTAGCAGAGTGGAGCAGGGATGAAGAACCTGTGCTCTGGTCCATGTGATGTATTTTGGCGAATCAACACTGCCCCCACCACACTTGACAGCTGTCTTCTTTAATTTCAGTCTATGCCTCTGAAATTACTCATGGTCTTCAAATGTATTTATTTTAAACTGGATTGTCTTGCTTTTCTTAGAGAAACCAGGATGAAATAAGAACATTTCCATTCTTACTGATATTTTCAATAAATTTCTTATCCTATCTTCCTCTGAATCTTTTCTCTGTAATTTTCATTTCAATGGAAAGAATTGTTGTCCAAAATGCTAAACCTCTTATTTATGATTGTTTTCTACCAAAGTTATTTAAAAAATTAATGATTCCTTATTTCTCTCTCAGACTATGTTCTAAGAATCATGTTGCAATTTCTCTCTCAGACTATATTCTGAGAATCATGTTGCAATTGTTGTACAAAGAAAGTTTGGTTCTGATGGAGTTCTACTACTTTTAAATGTTATTTAATTCTCTGGGTTTGGAAAAATAATGTCCTTACTGCCCTACATAAAAAAAAAAAACAGCTCACAAAAAAATGGTAGAATTTGTCCATGGCATGGTGACCAGTTGGCCATGGGGGTTTTTTTAGTGGTTTAAGTAAGAGCCTTTCATCCTGAGAACTGGCAAGCAGTTACTTACCTCTTGCCCTGACCAGTATTCCAATAGTTGAAATCTTGGAATTATGATTTAGATATGAGGTGTCCCCAAAAAGCTCATGTGTGAGACAATGCAAGAAGGTTTGGAAAAACTTGGGTTATAAGAATAGTAACTGAAGTCAGGTAGGCTGTGGGTAGAGGAGGTGGGTTATTGGGGTATGATTTGGGAATGTATATTTTTTCTTGGTGAAAGGAGAACTCTCTGCTTCTGGCACCATGTTCCCAGTGGCTTTCCTCTGCCACACACTGTTCTGTTGATGTCCCCAAGGAATGGAGTCTGTCGTCTATGGATTAAAACCTCTGTAACTGTGAGCCCCCAAATAAACTTTTCCTCCCTAAAATTGTTCTTGTCAGATCTTTTGGTCACAGAAGTGACTAGAACACTTGGGACACATTGTGATACAGAACTTTTAAGTGCTAGATTGGAAAGAGCACTGGACATGGGGTTGGGACACATGGATTCTCAAGCTGACCCCATGACTAAACTGGGTCACAAGATTCAAATCTGAATCTTAAAACATTCATCATCTGGAATCTGTTTTCAGAATAAGACAGTGGGGTTTGACTTCACCATGGCATGGACTAGAGGAAACTACCATTGTGAGTCCAGCAGCCTCTGAAATCACAGTACTCTTTCCACCTATGTGTCAGCTATCTGTCTTGGGCACCAATATTGTCAATACATCAAATTCAGGTGTAAAAATAGATGTAATTTCATTCCTGTTCTGCAGAAGATTTGTGCAGAGTTTAGAAGAAGAGATCTCCTTAGACATGCCTGTCATATTGATTCTAACTGGTCAAAATCCTCTTGGCATGCAAATTCTGAGACAGGGATCAGAGTGCAAAAAGATCTCACAAGTAAGTGTGTATGTGGTGGCCAGTAGACAGGGAAGACTTCTTGAACTACTTGGAATTGGAACCAATGGTTCTACAATTACTAAGAGTGTGCCTCTGCCACTTCTACAAGCCACATCAATTTTTTTTTAAGTTGGCAAGGAAAGAAAACGTGGACCTGAACAAATGGAAATGGAAGAAGAGATCATTTGTAGTGATGTTGTAAATAAAAGCATAGAAATGTAAATGAGTTTCCAAGTGTTTAGTTTTGATTGCAAAATCCCTTTAAAGAAAAATCTTAAGGCTAGAACACTGTAAGAAATAAGCAATGACTGTATAGCCTTGAAGTGATAGGAGTCAGCATAAGTTTTGTAAAATTAGTTGGAATCAACTCTACAATACTGGCAAGTGCATACAGGAGCATTCAAGTCACCACAGCAAGACAAGCAAAAAGCAATGTTCTGCTCTCTATACCATCCCCTCAGGAACATGTCCAATACAATGGTTTAGAAATAAAGATACAGAGGGATGTAACAAAAAAGAAGAAGTAGCAGAGAAAGAGAAACAGTAGAACACACCTACTTCTCTTGTAGTCTTTCTGCCTTCAAAAGGCCCAACTAGAGCAGGGAAGATAATTTATCTATAAATAGTTCAACATTTTATTACTCACATAAAAAATAAACCCCAAACATCTTGATAGCCTTGATATGGATGGTGGCTTAAAAATTGCTAACCAGTTATCAGAAAACTCATATTCAGAGTCTGCATGTCACCTATACCTCTTTTGAAGTGCAATATTTTGATATTTAGAATAAACTGCTGTTTTAACATAATGTGTTAGAATAATGTATATCAGCCTCTAAAATTCTTAATTGTACATTGAGAAGAGATGCAGAAGTATGCTTTAGGGGTACCTGTAGAATTCTATTTATTCACTTCTAAAGAGTAATTGGAAGAAATATGACAAATGAATGCTTCATTTGGGGAGTGCATATGTGAATGCTTATTATACACTCACTTATTGCATCCATAGGCAATTTCATCTTTGTACAAACAAATAGAGTTGACTTAAATAGTCTTAGATGGTAACAGAACAGCCTATTAAGCAAACAACACAAAATTATATCAAGCACAAGAGAAATGAAGCCATCAAGAGAGCTGATTAAGATGAGATGTATATGGCTGCTGCCAACATAGCATGCATATAATTTTATAGTAAAACAACATATATTCCATGCTTTTATAGTTGTTCCAGAATGGATTCTACTGTCATGTGCTAAAAACCTACAAGAAAATAACTGGTACCCATGTCACTCTCTCTTGGTAAATGCAGATAGTTGTGTTCTACAGGAGATGTTGTTTTATGCAAGAGAAATACTAACCAAAGAAAAGATAAGTAGCCATATAAGTATAGTGGAAAAAAAGCAGTCTTCACAATCGGGAATATTATGGGGTATTTTTTAATGATAAGGAATTACTACATCAAGAACACATAAGAATTCTAAATGTGTATGTTCATAATAAATTATCTTTTTAAAAAAACATTTATTTTTTAGGTGTAGAAGGACACAACACAATGCCTTTATTTTTATGTGGTGCTGAGGACCGAACCTAGGTCCCGCCCATGCTAGTCCAGCGCTCTACTGCTGAGCCACAATCTCAGCCCATAATAAATGATCTTAAAAACACACTAAATAAGGATTGATAAGCTGCTGGGGTTTTGGCCCAGTGGTAGAATGCTTGCCTGGCACATGTGAGACACTGGGTTTGATCCTCAGCACAGCATATTAAAAAAAAAAAGAATAAATAAAATAAAGGTATTGTGTACATCTACAGCCAAAAATTTTTTAAAAAGAAGAAATAGAACTGAAATGACTAATGGGCAAGCCAGACAAAAGTGGGGTTTTCAGCATTTCCTCTCAGAAACTGATAGAACAAATCAAAAGAATCAATTAGGATAGTGAAGACCAGAACAAGAGTAACAACCAACTTGACATTTTGAGAGCAATCCATCCAAGAGTGGAATACACCTTATTTTCAAGTGCTCATGAAATATTCACCAAGACAGATTCTATTATTACCATGTTATTTGACATCACAATTGATATAAAAGGATTAAGTACTCCATATATATACATTTTCTATTACTAACAAAGTTTAAAATCTAACAAAATGATATTTGGAAATTAAATAACATAGTTTCTAAGGCAGGGTGGAAATGCCAGATGGCAGATTTTGTGATTTCATTTAAGCACACACAAAAACAATGTGCATGTGATCTGTCTATCCATTTTATTCCCTGCACAGTCTGACATTGGGAGTGGTGACTCTGATGGCCAGTTGGGCTACTTTGCTTTCCCTGATGGCTTTGCAGTTCTTGGAGAAAACATTGTGGGTAATCTCATCATGGTAAGATTTGCTGCATGTCAGCAGCACTTCCAGCTCCTTGACATTATTAACAAGAAACTTCCAGAAGTAACTGAGTAGCATGTGCTTTGTTCTCTTATTGTTCCCATAACCAATGTTTGGCATCAAGATCTGACACTTGAATCTTCTCTGCACGTTACTGTCAATATCTCTGGGTTTCTTCCAGTTATGCTTAATTTTGCCATATTGGTTTGACTGGTGCCAGATGAACTTCCTGGTCCTCTTCTTGACAATTTTGGGCTTCACATAAAGACTTATTCAAGTGTAAGTCCTGTTAAATTTGGCTCTGAAAGGTTGATGTCTGTTCACTGTTGTAGCTTGAGTTCTACAGGACAACCTAAAACCAGAGACATGGGCTAAAACCCATGAGAAGATCTGAGGACAGCCATTATGCTGAATAGAGTTAGCTGGCGCTTTTGTAGGCAATGCTAAGGAAGGGAGAAACAACAGTTTTAAACAAATAGTAGTCAAGAAATAACTGAAACTAAGAATAAGAAAATATTCTGAACTGACTGAAAATAGAAACAACATCAAATGGTGGAATGCACAAAATCTTACAGGGAAATTTTTAGCTTTAATTATTAAACAAGTAGAATGTAAAAATAATAAATATACTTTAACCTTAAAAATTAGAAGTATAAGTGCTTATTAAATATATGACAAGAAAGGAAAGAAAACATTGAGATACGTAAATAATGGAAATGAGAACAGATGGGAAATACAGAAAACAAGTTGAACCAAATTTGAAAGATCAATAAAATTTATAAACATATGATTATATAATCAAGGTAAAATATAAATAAGACACAAATTGCTAATGACAGGAATAAAAGTCACAGCATTGCTAATGATGAATTTCACAAACATAAAAGTAAAAAAATGTGAACAAACTGAGGTCACCATATTTGATTACACTCACTGATAGATTTCAAAGAAATATGTCAGCCTCTAACAGATTCCACAATTTTCCAGCATTCTGAAACTTAGCTACAAACAGATTAAGACCTGATTCCACAATCAGAGAATGGAATACCAAAAAGAGCAGAGAAGCAAGGGGCCAAAAAGTGGAAATAGTCTGACTCAGAAGGGCTCAGTATCTACAGAATACCCAGGCTTCTTCTCCAACTGTATCCAGGTTGCCTGCTGAACACATTGGGAAACCCCTCAATGTGGACCAACCAGACTGGAACAGCCAGTTTAGGGGCAACCCTCCCTGGAGCAGTCAGGCTTGGTACTCCCAAGCCAGAAACAATCAAGCCTGGAACAATCCATTTCACAGTGGTGGAGAGGAATCCCTGCAGCTCTGTATGCATCTCCAGCGAAATATTTTGCAAGTGATTTGGTACCCATCTTGGAAACTGCTTGGGAAACTCTATTTTCTAGCTTCTCTAAAACTGAATATTTATTCCTAATTACTCGATAAACAAATATACCAGCTGAAGTTGTGTGAAGGTGAGTGTTTTCAATTTCATTCTGGGCAGTGGCTGAATTTCTTTCTTCCTTATAAGATTCTTTTTGTTTTAGAGATATGTATCCCTGCCCAATATTCTGGCTCTAGTTGTGTCTGTGTGTCAATTTGGAAGGTGGATGACTGGAGCCTAATCAAAGAGGTTTAAATAACTTTAATATAGACTAGAAGTTGTCTCTGGCTATACATAAGTAGAAGTAATACTAGTTTGGTTATATTTACAATATAAAATCTAATCTCAAAAGTATGAAGTAAAAAGTAAAATGATATGTTAAAAAAGCTCTTTTATATTTTCTGAGATTTGGAAAGATTTACTTTTAGAAGCTCAATTGCTGGGTCAAATGTGGTTCCATTCCAAGTTTTCTAGGGAATCTCCATACTGCTTTCCAGCAATGTATGAGTGTGTCTTTTCCCCACATCCTCACCAACACGCTTACTGTTGCTTGTATTCTTGATAACTGCCATTCTGGCTGGAGTGAGATGATTGCATTTCTCTAATTACTAGAAATGTTGAACATTTTCTCATATATTTGTTGATCAATTGTATATCTTATTCTGAGAAGTGTCTGTTAAGCTACTTAGCCCATTTATTT